CCCTTGACCGGAATCGAACCCGGGACCTTTCAGTCTGCAGGCCGACGTCCTATCCATTGAGCCAAACCGGTTTTGGCAATTCTGGAGTCTTTTAAACTCCAAAATGATATCTAGATCTCAGCAATGATTTTTATGAGACAAATGATAAACTTTCATATTTTTTCCATGTAACATATTATTTATTTGTCAGAATATTTATTTCAAGATGTTGTGTTCAGAGTGTAGTGAGGTCAAGTTTTAGCATCTGCTAATAAGTTATGTTTTGACTACTTTCTTACAAATGAAAAAATGTTTTCTTATCTTTGATACCTCCAACAGAGTGGAAAGATAACATTATTTTTTATTCTATTACAAAATTGATTGTTTTCATTGTAAGAACTTTGAATAAAACCAGAATCAGAGATATGTCGAAGTTATGAAGTTAGATACAAAAGCTACATGTTGATTTATTCAAGCAAAAAATCATAGCAGAGGAATGGACTTCTTTGATAGTTTACAGTTTTTTTCTAGCTTTCTCAAAAGGCCTTTTAGCCTTAATACCTCTCTGAGTGTTGGTTAAGATATGACACCAAAACACTTCAATTTGAAATTGTAAGTTCTCATTTTCTTCTCCCTATTCTTTCATTTTATTCTCTGTTTTATGTTTAAGGCAAGTGGAAGCATAGGAGAACATGAATTAAAATTAGCACAAAAAGGACACAAAATAGCTGGTCAAGGGTTACCAGCTTTTCTGCCCTTGACCTGGAGATTTGTGACCCTCTACCAGTGGTTCTGAACCTTTCTAATGCCATAACTTTTTAATACCGTTCCTCATGTTGTGATGACCCCCAACCATAAAATTATTTTCGTTGCTACTTCATAACTGTAATTTTGCCAAGGGTCACAGGCGTCCTCAAACTTTTTAAAGTGGGGGCCAGATCATGGTCCCTCAGAGAGCTGGAGGGCCGGACTATATGAACTACTAATTCCTACTGTAACACCTCGGCTGCGCTCACTGCCCAAAAAACCTGGCGGGCCGGATCAGACTCCTCTGCGGGCCGCATGTGGCCCGAGGGCCGTAGTTTGAAGACTCCTGCAAGACCATTGGAAAACACAGATATTTACATTATGATTCATAACAGTAGCAAAATTACAGTTATGAAGTAGCAACGAAAATAATTTTATGATTGGGGGTCACCAGAACATGAGGCACTGTATTAAAGGGTCTCTGCATCAAAAAGGTTGAGAACCGCAGTACTAAACTCTTTATAGAGAAGGCCAGAGGAATCTCAAGAGATAGGATTGAGGGTTGGTGGTGATTGTGCTGGTTGTGGTGAGATAAGGAACAGAGGATCTGAGGACACAATGCCCACTGAGATTGCTGATGAGGTGACAGTTTATGGCAATGTCCTCCTCCATGAGAATGCGGAGCTCAGAAAACCCCAGATTTTTTTTTTTTCCAGCTTTCCATATCCACAGCATTTGCAAAGCAGTAGGGAGTGCCACCTTTCCATTGTTCTGTCTTCCCTTTCATGCTCTGGGCCAGGGCTTGAGTTCACAGATGTTTCAATGAGGTGCCAGATCAACTGACATATCCTAGCTGGTGAGATGTTTAGAGTTCTAATAAAAGGAAAGAGATGTTTAGTCTTTTTACTACCTCCAGTATCTTTTGACCTAAAAAAAAAAAAATGGAGTAGGGCATCAGGCAAAAGTAGGCAAATAGAGAGGGGGGTATTGTGGCCTTGGCCTTGTGATATGGTTAGTTCATTTAACTGCCTTTTATAAATACTGAATATCAATCTAGTCAGGATTTTAACACTACTTACACAAAATAGGCACATCATTAAATCTGTACAAGGAAAAACTGAAACCTAGAGAACTTCAGCGCGTAGTTTAATGTCACAAATAGTAGAATAGACAAGATCACACTTAGAAAGACCTCTTGCCTTGTTATCTAATCTATTCTTTCAGGCTGCAGACATCCCTTTTATTGTCTGGTGAAAAGAAAAAGAAACTCATTTCCTGAATTTACTATAAGATTTAAATAGACTTGATAGCCTAAAATATTTTTTTTTCCTAGAAGACCTGCAACATTAGAATGAATGCTGAACATTTCTGAATTCTAATTGTGAAGCACTAATGTTGTGCATTAGCATTTAGCCTCGAGAAGTTCTTACTTTGGGTGCCAAATTAAACTAATTTACACTTACTAACTAACTAAACATTTTCTTAGCGTGATACAATGCCCAGATTTCTACCATTATATTAAACTTCGCACTTTTCTACTATTTTACAAAGTTGTAGGAGGAGTGACAAGTTTCAAGCTTTGAAGCATGATTCTTCATGACTTCCTAGAGGATTGTGATACAAAGGCCCCAAATATACTAATATTTAATTGTCAGATGATATACAAACTGTCCCGATGGAGGGCATCGCCTGCTGAGTTGAATGTCATTACCATGAGGACCATCCTGAAACATGACATATCCGTAACAAATTTTCCTGAGAACCTGTCTATGTCTATCATTACTAATCTCTCAACGCAGCAGATGCTCTGTGCAATGTTCTTTAACCAACTACATGACAGAAAAATCAAGCAAGTTACATATGATATAGGAAGACGTTCTATTGAGCTATTTTGGAAAGCTCACCCCAAAGTCTTTACTTCATGAGATTCTCATCTAGATTCGGTGTTCTACCCTATAACCTTATTTATTTTCAGAATAAAGCATAGCCAGAGTGCTTCTACTTTAATTTGAGCCTTTGTGGTTCATCTACAAGCTTTGAGAGGTGACTCGGGTGAACCACTGGATTGTGACTTTCATTTTGAACTGGTGCCTGGCCGTTTCCCTGGAAAGCCCAAGTTTTAGTCTTGAGTCAGGAAAGGGCCAGAGGACCTTTGTAGGATGACGGCTTACCTGGCTGAGCATTAGTCACTCCATGCTGGTCTTGGAACACGGGATGTTTCATTAGCTGTGGGAAGTATAGCATGTTTTCTGAAAAATATCTCCTAGAAATCGGATTCCAAAGTCCCCTTTATCCTTGGGTTGTTTAAGCTGCACACATTCCCCGCCTTGCTTTGTTAGAGCCTGGATCCCTGCCATTCCTATGATAAAGGCAGTGGGGAATGTCTCACCTATCTTGGTAATTTGAGCTTTTGTCCTGTTTTCCAGGCAAGATTTCAAACTTTTAATTACCCACTTAGTAAAACCCAGATGTCCCATTTCAAAGACCTATTCCCATTAGGGAATTTTCATTTCCAAGCAACAGTTGGATGAAATCCTAGAGTTTTACTGCATCCCATTTCCAGTGCTTCAGCTTCACTTTTTCTTTTCCTGAGTAAATAGGACCCTAAACTTTTAATTCTGAAAACCTATTTTAGATAGAATTTGGAGTATACCACAATCCACTACATTGAAACTTTCTATCTAAGCCCTAAATGGTTCTTTTCAAAATATTTCTTAGCATGCATTTGGTTCATAAACCTTCTCGGGGTGCTAAGAGGATAAGTGACTTTCAATTTGAAAATACATTACAAAGTGTTCCATCTCTTAAAGTTTAAGGAATACCCTGGTCAAGGTCTTACAAGTTTTACCTGACAGTGATTTTGATAAAGGGATTCATCACTGACTTGGAAAAAGGCCAGAGTGAGATGGCTCTTGGACCAATTTAGTGAGGCAATGAGTATTGGCAGGAAAGTGTGGGTCTTGTGTGACCTTGTTTACATAGGATATTTCCACAGCTGTGCTCGCTGAAAAGTCTCCACTTCAATTGCTATCTCCATCGACCAAATTGGCTGGTCTATTCACCTGTTGACGGCATGCTGCATCAAAGAGCCATTTTTTAATTTCAGGCGAAGATAAGTTGGGAATTTAAACTGGTTATATTGATGTGTAGGTAAAAATAACAATGAAAGGACTTAGCTTTGATAATCACACTGAGATTTGCTTATTTATTTTGCTGCAAAAGTAAGGTTTATGTAATGTGGATCTCCTGTGGAAACTCTGTAGATGAAGAAGCAGGGTCCCAAAGAAGTCAGATCCCTCAGCCACAGGTTCTTCCTTCCTGTCCTCCCTCTCTCACCTCTTCTTTCACAAAACAAGTTCTCTTAAACAATCCTGAGCCTTCTGTGAATCTAGGTGTGTACTAGTACATAAACAGATGTATATGCAGAGTTTCTCTTTCTCATTCTTACAAGTAGTCTTTTCGTTTTTTAAACTATTTTTTATTGATTTTTTTTACAGAGAGGAAGGGAGAGGGACAAAGAGCTAGAAACATCGATGAGAGAGAAACATCACCAGCTACCTCCTGATCACCCCCTACAGGGGATGTGCCCGCAACCAATGTACATGCCCTTGACCGGAATCGAACCTGGGACTTTTGAGTCCGCAGACTGAGGCTCTATCCACTGAGCCAAACCGGTTTCGGCGTCTTTTCTTTTCTTTCTTTTTCTTTCTTTTTTTTTTTTTTTTTTGCAAAAAAGCTTTATTGTTTTATTTGGTCCAATGCATTGGAGAGGTCTTCAGGGTGGTTAAAAAAATGGCTAGTAGTTTCAGGAAGTGGCTTAGGTAAAAGCCAGAGACACCAGGGGAATCTAGGGTAGCCTCTGAAAGGTCTCTGGGCTTCATAGTCTCCTAGTCGTGCTTGAGAGTGAGCCTTTGGAAGAGAGACTTGCCCAGCCCAGCCTGGGGGCTTGCCAGCCTGCAGATGTTAGTCAGGTGGTTGCCCATTTTCTTGATCAGTTTCACCTCCTCATCCAGGAAGTGGTTCTCCAGGAAGTCGCAGACATGAGGGTCTGCACGGGTAGAAGCCAGGCCATGCAACTCCAAAAGGGCCTGGTTCAGGTTCTCCTCCAAGGCCAGGGCAGCTTCCGTGGTGTCCTGAGTTTGGCCCAGTCATCCTGGGAAGGTTTCCGCATGACCTGGAAGAGAATGTGGCCTCCTCACTTGTTTTGCAACTTAAGAAATGCTCCATGCCCTCATGCTTACTCCAGCCAAGTCTCAGAAGAAGTGATCCACACCCTCCCAAGCCACATCCTCAAGATTAAAATAGTAGCCCAGAGAGAGGTAGGTGTAGGAGGCCCGCAGATGAAGGTTGGCCAGGTGATTGACCGAAGCCTTCACCTGGGTGGAACAATTCTGACGAATTTGGGAGCTCATGGTTGTTCAGCAAAAACACTGGTGTATTGGCTGGTCCTGGAGGTGGTTCTGAAGGTGGTGACTGGGTGAGACGCAGGAGAGTGGCTGGAGACTGGAAGAACGGGCGTCCCTGGGTCTTTCCATCCAAACACTGTTGAAGCAAGAGACAGATCTTGGACCTTTAAAAAGACTGCACAAGTAGTCTTTTAAAATATATATATATGCTTTTATTGATTTCAGAGAGGGAGAAAAAGTTAAAATCATCAATGATGTGAGAGAATCATTGATTAGCTGCTTTCTGCACACCCCCTACTGGGAATTGAGCCTGCAACCCAGGCATGTACCCTGACCAGGAATCAAACTGTGACCCTCCTCGTCCATAGGTTGATGCTCAACCGCTGGGCTTATAAATAGTCTTTTAATGAAACTTACTGTAGAGCACATAACCATAGTGATAGCTTGTTCCATCTGAGTTGCTTTTCTAATGTAGTATATAGCAATTGTGCCAACTGCTTTGTAACATAATTTGACATCTATAGGCCTATAGATTTGCATCAAACCCGAAGCCTCGGGACAAGCAAATAGGCCTCTTTGACAGAAAGACCAAGCTCCTGTCTGCTGCCTCTGGCTGTGTCCCGGGGGCCGACAAAAGGATCCATTCTCCGCTGGTTCCAGTTCTGTGGGGCCTGCAAGAGAAAGTCCCACTGGCCACCAGAGTGAGGCCACAGAGAGGTGTCTCTGGTGGCAGCCACAAACATCAGGGCAGCAGCCTTGTGTCAGAGCTGACCCAGGAGACACTGGTGTTCTGGAGTGGCAGAAAACCTGGGCTAAAATAAAAAGATGGTCCTTCCCCCTTCCCCTCCACCCCCCGGGGAGGAGTAAGGTGGAGCGAGAGTGTAAAAATGACCTGTCAGTCTCCATCCCACAGAGCATCCAGCAGCCCCAAATGTGTGTCAAACCAGATGCCCGCATCTCAGGCCCACGCTCAGCAAACCAGCGGGCCTCACCCACACCCAGCCCCTGCACCCCTCAGGCGATACTCCTCCCTGGGCCTGAGTCCTTACCTGCTGGCAGTGTTCAGGTTGCTCCAGCCTGTGGGTCTTACCACTGGTTTTCAAAACTAGATATCTGGGAGGGTCCTTCCTCAGCTGCAGATCTTAAAGTTGGGGTTTCAAACCCTTCTCTCCTCAAGGAGCAGCTTGGGTTTGAGCTTCCTCCAGACCGTGGGCCACGCGCGGGGGTGGGGAGGTGGGGGTATGTGGTGAGATTGCGAGATTGTGTCCCAGCCTCTGCTACCGGCTTCCATGTGGCTTTCCTCTTGTTCATCAATTTGAAGGAGGCTAGGTGTCACCAGCCAGTTTTTAGGTGGTGTGTGTATGTGTGTGTGTTTTTTCCCCCAGAGAAAGTTGTCCCAGGTGTACCCAAAGATTTAGTGGGTAGATCTGGTGTGTAGACTTGGTGGGCGGAGGTGAGCTCAGGATCCTCCTCTGCCACCATTTCCCACATTGAGATTAAATTAAAGCACAGATCATTAAAACTGCTGCTTCAGGGTGGCCTTTATCTGACCTGGAGTTGAGGAACTATGCTTGGCAAGGGCAATTCCAGGCTAGGATGCAGACTGTGACCTTTCTGGGTAAGAGGTGCTATTTTATTTGTGGTTTATACTCTTAAAGGTACTTGCATAGGCATACAGCATCACAGTAACCTATTTCCCACAACTGGAAAGGCCTGCATAGAAAGACCTTGGGATGGCAGGCAGAACTCCAGGTGTTCCGAGTCCAGCATCATCATTCATGTAGAATTGTATATGAGTGATGTCCATGGAGTGCAGGTGTGCAGAGACTAGCACAGCTTTGGAAGGTTTGCCCCTACTCTGCCCCTGCCTTCCTGTTCTGACTTCTTCACTCAGTCTTTTCCCATTGCTCAGTCCTAGGCACTTGAGCCTTCTTGCCGGTGTCTGAACACACCAGCGTATTTCTAGCCACAAAGACTTCGTACTTGTACTTCCTGTTTCCCTGGCCCTCCTGTTTAACACTGCAATTATTCCCACATTCTCCGTCCTTTTCCTTTATTTTTCATCATTTGTCACTATTTCACATAGCATATATGCAGTTTATGTTGTATACTGTCTGGTCTTTCCCTCCACTCCCCCCAAGTCTGTGAATGGATTGTTTTATTTTTCCCCCCAATGCTGTGGCCTAGCAACTAGACTAGTGTCTAGCACACAGTATGTGCTTCATAAATATTTCATGAATAAGTGAATAAAATACAAACTTTTCAATATATTAAAAATAGATCAGAGTTACTACAAAATAAAGAAGTCTCGAATTCCTGTGTACTCTGTATTTTAAAAAGCCAGAAAACTTGATGATTTTGCTCATTTCAGTGGTGAGTCATGTGACACATTCCCTGCCTGATAGGCAGGGCTCTGATTTGGAATGGAAAGTTTCAACTCAGTAGATGGAACCTAAGAGGACCCTTGCAGAGACCTGCCAGTCCTCTGTTGTTCATCGAAGGACATGTGGAGGCTTATAACAAAGTAACCTCAGTTGGTGTGGCAGCTTAAGCGTCAACAGCCTAATGCCGTGGCTTTTATGAAAAGTAAGATTGAACGTTAGAGCGACAATATCAATTTCTCATCTTTGTCCCAGATCTAGCCATCTCCATGCCTCTGATCCCAAGCTTTGTCTGCCCTGCTGCTACTGCACAGGGATTTGTACCAGCTCCCTTTACGAAATACGTTTGCTTCTCCTAGAATATTGCTTTTGTGAAAACGTGAAAACAATATCAGTCTTGCTACTCAGTCCACTTCATAATTTAGCATCGTTTGGCCTGATTTTAAGGGAATTCCTGATTTGTAAGACAAATGTGGCTATTCCGAAAACATGGTTTGCTCTCATAGCATTTTATTTGCAGTGTGTTTTCTGTAAAGTATATTCAAATGAACGATAACACGTGTGGGAAGTTATATACGACATTCTATGAATCTTCGGTATGTCTTGTTGTGAATATCCAAATATTTGTTCCAGGGAAGTGACTTTCTTATTCATAATTAAGCATCAGGGGCATGTATAATATATGCTCTAAAATGGGTAAATGCATATGTATATAGAAAAGTGGAAGTACTGTCAGCACTGTCATTTTGTGAGATAGACCGGCTTCTCAAGATGATTCCTGGCACTGTCTCTTTTGTCTTGCTATAAAAATTGAGCCCTACTTGTATGACTAGGTGTGGTGGTGATGGATGCTATTAAGGAACACGGTGTTTGATTCTCACCAGCAGATTCTCCAAATGCACTGGCAGAGCGGTTGGGCCATCGTTAGGTAGCATGTGCTCCAGACTTAATGCACATGAGTTGGCAGTATTCCTTTAATTGTCCCATTTGTTTTATATTGCCAGGTGGTTTTGATTAATGAACCAAAACAAGTGAATTTGTGTACAGAAGACAGAAAGAATTATAACTCAGCTGGTTGCTCTTAGGTCAGTACAAGTTACAATAGAAATATAAAATCTTGTCATTGATGCAACATTAATTCCTTCCTTATCGAGTGGGCTGAAGTACCTAATTAAAATCCCAACATTTCCTCACCCCTTTCTAATAGTCTCACACACTGGAAAATTCTACAGAGCCATGAATGGAATATCTTAACTTCCCAGTCACTGTGGATCTTCATCAAAAACAGCTTGAATGCTACTAAGTACTGAGAGATGCAAGGAATGAGTGGTCTTCCACTCCACTCATTCTTCTCCTGCTTTTTCAGGAGTGGGAAGCACCTGGCCCCCCTCTGCCCTGAAGTGCAGGAGCCTAAACATGCCTCCCCATTTCGAATGTTCTAAAAATATTGTGATTTAAACAGCTTTTATTTCCTTTAGGTATATTAATAAGTACAAGTACAGTGCTTACTATGTGATGAGGGTGTTCTAAGTGCTCTTGAAATAGTTACTCTTCTTTTTCCTATGCATTATTTTGTCCCTTTATACCTCTTTGTTTCAATTACACTTACATATTAACAACTTCTGAACCAAAGTCTTTCTCTCAGAATCAGGTAAATTTAAATAGTGCACCAGCCAAAACCGGTTTGGCTCAGTGGATAGAGTGTTGGTCTGTGGACTGAAAGATCCCAGGTTCCATTCCAGTCAAGGGCATGTACCTTGGTTGCGGGCACATCCCCAGTGGGGGGTGTACAAGAGGCAGCTGATCGATGATTCTCCCTCATCTATGTTTCTAACTCTCTATCCCTCTCCCTTCCTCTCTGTAAAAAATCAATAAAATATATTTAAACAAATAAAAATAAATAAATAAATAGTGCAACAATTTCTCATACGATGAACATACCTACATTCAAACGATGAAAAGGTATCTCTATACTGTATAAGAATGGTGAGAATTCTTTTGGGTCTCTGGATGCCAAAGAAACCCACTGATTCATTGCACATATTTTATATTTTGGTAAGACGATGCTTTCTTCTTTTCCCAACTGCATCCCTCCATGCATTTTTACCTGCAAGTTGAAAAGGCTTGATAGTCAGATAAAGTTGGAGAAACACAGGCTCTAGTAAGCTTCCTACCTGAAAAGTCATAGTGCATGTTTTCTTATCAAGATTCTGCAGTCAAGGCACCTGTTTGTAGTAGGGCTTTTCCTAAAAAAATTAAACTGTGAATTACCATATCCAGGGGTCCTCAAACTTTTTAAAGTGGGGGCCAGATCACGGTCCCTCAGAGAGCTGGAGGGCCGGACTATATGAACTACTAATTCCTACTGTAACACCTCGGCTGTGCTCACTGCCCAAAAAACCTGGCGGGCCGGATCAGACTCCTCTGCGGGCCGCATGTGGCCCGCGGGCCGTAGTTTGAAGACGCCTGAATCAATTCCACTCCTGGGCATGGACCCTAAAAATCTTGTAATTGATGCAACATTAATTCCTGGAGGAATCAAGTAGATGTCTGTACATCGGTTTCTGTGGCAAAGTTATTCACAATAGCCAATAGGTGGAAGCTAGTGTGTGTCCATTGATGGGTGAAAGGATAAACAAAAGGTGCTCTATACACACAATAGAATATCATTCAACCTTAAAAATGGAGGAAGTCCTGATACATACTATACCATGGATGAAACTTAAAAGACATTAAACACAATCAAATCAGCCAGTCGCAAAAGAACAAATACTGCACCATTCCATTTATATGAAGTACCTAGAATAGTCAGATTCATAGAGACAGAAATTAAAATGGTGGCTTCAATGGGCTGAGGAAAGGTAATGGGGAGTTATTGTTTAAGGAGTACAGAGTTTGGGAGGATGAAAAAGTTCTGGAGATGGTTAGTAGCTAAGAGTTAACAATCTGAAGCTACTCCATGCCACTGAATTGTCCACTTAAAAATTATTAAAATGGGCCCTAACCTGTTTGGCTCAGAGGATAGACCATCAGTCTGCAGACTGAAAGGTCCCAGGTTCGATTCTGGTTAAGGGCATGTACATGGGTTGTGGGCACATCCCAGGTAGGGGGTGTGCAGGAGGCAGCTGGTCGAGGTTTCTCTCTCATCTATGTTTCTAGCTCTCTATCCCTCTCCCTTCCTGTCTGTAAAAAATCAATAAAATATATATTTTAAAAAATCAATAAAATATATTAAAAATATTAAAATGGTAAATTTTATCTGATATCTATTTTACTGCATAGAAGAAAGAAAAAAATCTGTTTTCATCTAGAATTTCCTAGTTTATTTAATCATAAGACACTTTTTCTCAAGGAAAAGAAAGTTTTTGGAGGTATACATGAACATACCTACATTCAAACGATGGAGCACAAGAAAAACCTGGTCTATACACTCAACATTACATTCAACAAGAGTGAACTGTCATAATATTACTTCTATATATAAAGCACTTCTGTGCCTCCTTTGTTCATATGATACTTAAAACCCCTTTGCTTGTACACAACCCACCTAATATCTCACCATACCTGTATAATTATGTCCTCAACTTGAACAGTGGCTTCAAATTAAGACAAATATGGCAGTTAAAATCTATATAACTTGATAATGGTGGAATATAGTGGATCTAGGTAAAGATAGTGCAGAAGTTCGAATCTGGGTACAAGAAAGGTAGGGGCTGCCATTGTATCAAAAGGACGAAGTGGGGCAGCAGTTCGGGAAAGCAGGGAATAAAGAGATTTGCTTTGGTCTCTCCCACTCAAACGGGAGTTATCCAAGTCCCCTTCCCCAAGGTGACGTTACAACTAAGGAGGCCAAGTATGTGGAGCAGCAAGGAAAATAATACACATGAGAGTACCTGGCTGCTTCCTCTTATTCTAAACAAGGTTCTGTTTTTGAAGGGCTTTTGTTGTTGTTGTTCATTTTGAGAAATGCAGTTTAAAGAATACATTTTTAGAGCTTTCATTATGCCTATTATTATAAAGACAAAGAAATTAGGACAATTATTTAAAAACCATTCCTTGACTTTGTTCCCTCATAATGAAAGCTATACCAAACAAGTAGTCTTCAGGTGTCAGGAGTAAAGAACACAGCAGTTTGTAGTCAGACTAGTGTACAGAAGCATCTCTAGCCTCTGGAATATAATATTTAAAGTTCCCTAGCCTTGCACCAAGTGAATTAAAGTTTCTAGTCATCATCAACAATTTGAGATATAATACTTGTTACATGAAAACATTATCAAGTTTTAAACAAAGGGGAGGGGGGAAAAACTATATTCGTGCTGAGCCTATTACCATAAGTAATGCAGCAGACACAAGTTGTAGATTTTAAATAATGTAGATGAGGGCCTTATGTCCCTTAGGTTCAGTGCTTAGCACAAGGCTGAGTACACAGTAGGTGTTCAGAAATATTTGTTGAATGAATGGATCAATGATGGAATTGATTTCTGAAGGTTAAGAACTGTTATCATCAAAGAGCTGAGCGGCGATGAAATGTGTATCCTGAGTGCACTTTAATATTTTCACTGACATCCAAGAGTTAAGGGAGGGATCACAGGTGTAAAGAGTGTTAGCACTCAGGAGAGACAGGGATGGTTTATTGTACTTCCAAGAAAGGTCAGTCCTGGGGAGTATTAATTGTGAGTGAGACTAGAGAACATTTGTGCTGAATGTCAGGGGAAGCTTTTGAAGAGTAAAGAGTATTAAGCTACATAACAGAGCCAGAGGAGAAACTCAAGTGTCTGGTGGATTTTTATAGGGAGAGTGGGCCATGCCCTGGAGATGGGTGGGGAATGCCTTCGCCCCAAAGGCCTGTGCACCAGCAGAACTTTCCGGGTTCTACTTTGTCTCTCCGTCCTGTCCTGCTTCACTGCAGTCATCTAAAACATAGAGGAAAATGGGCATCTGTGTGGTCTGGGAAAGGGCTTTTGCAACTTGGACTCTATCACAGCGATACAATGATGCTAAAAGGAGTTTGTGTATTTGGAAAATGATGCTATGATTCCGAGAGAGGACATAAAAAGCAATTAATTCACGCTGCAGTGCTTTGAGATGGTGGATTTATCAACTATGCATACGATTAACTACAAATGTCTGCAACAACAACAGAAATAGAGCCCAATGCTAATTATAAAAAGCGAGCTGGTGATATCCTTTTAGGTCTATAATTCTTGGAAAATGAAATTTGAGGACAGTCACGCCACATAGCTTAAACGTACTCAAAATCTCTAATGTCCCCCCGAGCTAAAAATCTTCTAAAATCAGCCTACATAATGAAGCCTTTGTTGCAGCTCAATTGTGCTTATATTATATAGAACAAGTGCTCTGTGCTGCATATTTTGTATGTTAATTTTAAAAGTTGAGCTATTTTCATCCAGGAAGTGAAATCACAGGTCACTCCACAGAACTCAATGAGGATTTTTGTTATAAAATGAAAATAGCTTTAACTAAAGAATGTTCAACTCCATCCCAATACAGATATGCTGCCTTTTGCTTCCTACCGCTACTATCTAAACTCACTTGTCATTTTAAGAAGGGCCGCTTCGAAAGGTACTGCATCTTTCAAATTTTAATGAATAATAAAGTAATAGTATTTGTGAAAATAAATTTGGATATCATCAGTTTTATAGACAGAGAGATAGATAGATACATAGATACAGATGCATGAATAGATACATATACATGAGAGAGAAGGGAGAGGAGGGAGATAAAGAGAAGTAACCAAGATTCTATAATATACGTAATTTAAGAATATTATCCTTTTGTGCACAAAAGAACATTTCTACTGATGATTCATGATTTAACAGTTGTTGTTTTTATTGGTTAATGTATATATCATATCCATGGAGAATCTTTTTAAAAAACCAACTTTAGCCGAAACCGGTTTGGCTCAGTGGATAGAGCCTCAGTCTTCGGACTGTAAGGTCCTAGGTTCTATTCGGGTCAAAGGCATGTACATTGGTTGCGGACACATCCCTGGTGTGGGGTGTGCAGGAGGCAGCTGGTCGATGTCTCTCTCTCTCATCGATGTTTCTAGCTCTCTTTCTCTCTCCTCTCCCTTCCTCTCTGTAAAAAATTAATAAAATATATATATATAAAAAGACCAACTTTGCAGTGAAATGTTCTACAAAAATAAGATTAAGTTTCTTATTTGAAGTGCAGTATGTGAAAAAAAAAAACAAGAAAGATTTTCAGCAGTTTTAGGCTATATTTTTAAAAAATATATTTTTTATTGATTTTTTACAGAGAGGAAGGAAGAGCTAGAGAGCTAGAAATGTTGATGAGAGAGAAAAACATCGACCAGCAGCCTCTTGCACACCCCCTACCAGGGATGTGCCCGCAACCAATGCACATGCCCTTGACGGGAATCGAACCTGGGACCTTTCAGTCTGAAGACCAACGCTCTACCACTGAACCAAACTGGCTTCAGGTAGGCTGTATTTTAGATGGTCTGGATGAAATACAGGTTACATGAAATGCCCAAAATCACTGTTATGGCATTTGCACCTTCCTGGGGGGGGGAAGCCCTGAGGAGCTGGAGGGAGGGCCTCAGAGGAAGGTTTAGTGGTGAGAGGAGAGTCAGAGGGCCCAGCCCACCTGCAGTTCCAACTGCCTCCTGGGCGCCTATCTCCCCAGGATGTCCCAGTGACAACTCAAGGTCAACACCCTCCCTCCTCCCAAAGTGCTGCGCCTCCTCTAGACCCCATAGTAGTTCATGGTAACCCTGCTTATCAGGTGCCCAACTAAAAGCTTCAAAGCTAAGGCAGATGCACTCTGAGAGGTCTGTGTCCCTGACCCTTGGAGGCGGGGGTAGGGGGAGGACCTACCATCCCTCTCACTTCCCTTTGTAAGAGTTTGATTTGAATTCAAACTGCTTTGAACTGAATTGCACATGGTGTTTGCAAAGTATCTACAGGATGAAAATAGGCATTTCCCCCCCTCCTGAACAAGTCTACCTCCTGTTGTGCAATTTAAATATTTTAATTATGAAATGGCAAAAGTGAATGGTATCAATTTTTACTAATTTAAACTCTCCTTTTCCTTTATCGCCTTTATTTTTGCTTTATCACCTTCCGTTAGCAATACAATTTTATGAGCTGAGAAATGGCAGTATAGGAGACAGTCCCTTATTTCTTGATGGACTTCGACCTTGTGTACCAAGCAAGTGGCAGGAGATTCTCTGTGAAACCCTTCCCCCCCCCCCCCCCCCAGGCCTGTCTATGGTAGGGCCCTGAAGCCTGCGATCTAATCATGCTCATTCTTAATGTCATCAACAGTTCCATCAATAATTCTGTAAGTCACCGGAGTAGATATTATCAGCTGTTTTCAAGTCTGCCCTCTTCAAAGGATGAAGTGACCTAGTTTTCTTTTCTGAGTCACGACTCCATACTTTACATAATTTTGTTCAGTGCTCAGATATTGCCAAGCTCCCTTTTGACATTATTTTCTACATAATAAGGTGGGGACACACAGGAATAAAGAAATCTCAGAAGGCTGATTCTATTAGGAACATACACTGGAATTGTCCAACTCCCATGATACTCTCAATAATAATACTCAAAACACTTCACAGAGGTTTTCTTGTGGCATAACTGCAGAAAAGAAATAGGTCTCATGGTTAGAGTTCCCTTTTTAGCATTCTCCACAGAATGAATAAATCAAGGGCAGGCTATAGCGGATCTCCAACATCCAGTGAAATGAGTAATCTTTTGTGAACAAAGAAGGAAACGTGCCTTTAGCTCCCATCAAACATCTGGACCTTAATAAAGCAAAGGCTGTAAAGATGGCTGTCAAAGCCTCATCTTACCCAAGTTTGGGAGCTGACAATGGCATCCTTCCCAGCATGCTTGGCAACCTCTTTCTTTGCAACGGAACCAACAGTCATGTCCCAAGGTAACCTTTCAGCCTCCAAGGCTACCCCCAACTAAATTCGTTTCATTGCTGAGAACAAGAGCTATGAGAAAGAAGCAATGCAGATGGAACACAACTATGAAATATAAAGTGACGTTTTATTGCCTACTTGTTGGAAATGTATGTATAACTTGATTCTGATCCCAAACCTGTGGATTTACCACATCAATGAAACAAGTCTAAGGACCAGCCTTCCCTGGGTTTCCCTCCTGGGCAGGTTTGCTACCCTGTCGTGAAAAACACCGGTGCAACCTGGGGAATAGCCACTTCGTCTTCCTTTAAAGCCACCAGGAACCTTTATGGCAAAACCGAGAGGAATAAACTAGTTCAGAGACACCTAACAGTCACCAAGGGCTCTCCTCCCGCTTGCACGCTCGGAGGCAGCTCTTGCTTTCAGTACTGCTGGGATCCCACGTGACAGAGCTCACAAAAAGAGGGTTAGGTTGTGAGAAGGATGCTGACAGGACCGCCCGCTGGCGGTGACTCCAGACCTGTCCTCACTCAGAGGCCTCCCCTCCACTGCCCATCCGCAGTCCGCGCTGGGCGGCTCGATGGAATTTATCGCTCCAGATTTTCTAGCTGTAATTATAGTTTCTCATTTACAATGGAACGCTGCAAATGAGAAAGTACTTGGAGCTACTTCCTATGCTTGGCAGCCGACTAAGGTGATCATATGTCCTGTTTTTCTTTCTTCCCGTCTTTCTTTTAAAGCCGGGACAGGTCTTTGTTTTTGCTGAAGTTCGCCGTTTTCTCCCCGTTACTGATGTGCAGCCTCCTTTGTGCTGACGGCCAAGGAAATTCTGGACGACTGCCCTGCTGGCCTCCAGAGACTGATACAAAGTCTTCACAGGAAAGTCAGTGGATTTTTTTTTTTTCCCTTCAAACTAGCGTTTACCAGAAACAAGACATCTTCATGTGTATGAGGACCTTGCTGTCTACTGAGCACGTTCAAAGACAGAGAGCCTGGGTTTGGCCTCTCTGAGGTCTGCAAATGCACTTGAAGCCACTTGACAAAGAAATGGTTTCAGCAAGTGCAACGATGAAGTTAAGCCCCAATTTTATTTTATTTATTCTGCTTGCTTTTCATTTGGCACCAGTAGAAAATGTTTAAACATATTTTCAGTTGGATGTTCTTTGGGCAGACCCTGAAGAGGACTTTCTGTCGGTCCTCAGTAAAAGTATAACCACAAGACAATTTGTTTAACCCACGTTCCCCCAAATCTATGTGTTTTGCTGCTGCCACAAAAAAAGACTATCAAATTCTGTGTGATGGGCTCCAGGGAAATGAAGCATAAGTAGCTCCTTCTCGTGTATGTCCTGCAAAGAAGGGCTGCTGTTGTCCTTTCCTGAGGCTGCCCGCACGCTAGCTGTCTCATTTACCCAAGGCCCGATCTACCTAATTACTGAGATAGCAGCAAACATATCATCTGTTCCTCTCCTCCAGACCACGTGATTGCATTGCCCATTTGTTGAGTGTTTGTCTCAGATTTAAATGAGTCATTTAGTAACCCCTGTGCACAGCAAGGTAAGTTGCAACCAGCTGGCCCCAGCTGGCTCACAGGCTCTGCCCCCACGCCCCAGCCTTCCTGAAGGGCTTTGTGTAACGTTGCCCCAGCTGTGGTGGCAGGAGGTCCAGCTTTCTGTGCATCAGGTAATGAAATGACCATGAGAACTCAGGGTTTTAGGAAATGATGCCAGTGTCTATCCAGGCATCTTCAAACTACGGCCCACGGGCCACATGCGGCCCGCAGAGGAGTCTGATCCGGCCCGCCAGGTTTTTTGGGCAGTGAGCGCAGCCGAGGTGTTACAGTAGGAATTAGTAGTTCATATAGTCCGGCCCTCCAGCTCTCTGAGGGACCGTGATCTGGCCCCCACTTTAAAAAGTTTGAGGACCCCTGTAAGACTGTGAGGCCTATTGATAAAGTGGTTGAAGGTCAGTTATCATTGGAACGTGAGAAGTTTCCCGCCGCCTTCAGGGGCTCCACAGACAGCTCGACCAGGCACCCACAGAAAGGCTGTTTTGTTCCCAAGGTCGGTGGCGCTCAGGGATGGAGAATGGATGGCAGAGAGTGGTCGTAAGGGAGGACAGAGTGCTTCCATATCAGCTCGGCCTCTTTGTATTTGCTAAGAACAACTTTTATTTAAAGACATCACCTTGCTACTCTATTTATAAATGCTTAAACAACTATAATTATTTGTGGTCTGTGTACCACTTCATCCTACCTGGAATTTCCAATCCAAATCTCTATCCTCATTAGTCTACTTGACACATGGGAGGCAAAAAAAAAAAAAAAAAAGTCAAAAAGAAACCCACCACAAAAAAGGCTAACTGAATAGAGGTAGTGCATGTTTATTTTTTAAAAACTTAACAATATAGAAATGTAGACAAATCATATAAAGAAATGTATAAGATAATAAAAGCCATTCATTTATCCTAACCCATTAAACAACATCTTTAACATATTGCAGAGGCAGAGATAATTGCCCATTGTTACATAAATTTATGCGTAAATGTGTATACTTCAAAATGAGAATTTATTAAAGCCCCTCCCTCATTTGTTGCTTAGATGCCCGAAACTCCTGTCTCAGTGTTTCAGTGTTTCAGTCTGGCTCCTCATCAATCTATCTACTTTAGTGGTTCTTAGCTGAGTTGGTTCCTCACCCAAGCAGAGACAAGAGGCAATGTCTGGAGAACATTCTGGTTGTTGCTGTCAGGGTGGAGTGTGGGAGTGCCACTGGCATCTAACCTGTGAAGTCCAGGGATGTTGTTACATGCCTGACAGTCACAACACAGTCTCTGCTGCCCACTCCTCCCACCAACAAATTATTCAACCCAAATGTCAATGGCGCTGAGATCACACTCTGACCTACATTCTTCCTCTCCTGCTCTGCCCTTCTGGTCATGTTCCCAAGCCTGTGAAGTCTCCCTCCACTGCTTCTATACTTCTACTTAGTACAGCAAGACCTAAGCAGAAGGTTGCCATCTCCATGTCTTCTCAGGGCACTAACCACAGCTGGTAAAGCTACTTTGAGAAGTCCCCTCCATTGCTGGTTCTTCTCAACATAGGAACAACAGTTCTTGCCAAGGGTGCCATCTCCACTCCTCTTAGCATTTCCAGATTGCTGATGCCAAGCAGGCACCCATTCAGACATTGAGAAGTGCCCCCTCAGTACCTCTGTGCTCTGCAAGTGGACACCATGATGTATGGGCATCTGTGCTTATGCCAGAGACTCAGAGAGATTAACTTTTAACCATTACATCTTGCACAGATGTCCATGAGGTCGGTCATGACAAATCGTTTTTGTTCTCATTTCTCTAAATGTAAGAGTTCAAATTAAGTTCAAAGGGCCAGCTGAGAAACCATTATCTTGGTCAACATTTTTCTTATCCTAGACCCACTCAAACCTGAAACTCCTGTGGCCTCCTTGGCTCCATTTGTAACCAGGGCTGTCAGGAGACACTGGGTAAGAATGGAAGGAGACGAGAGCTGTCTGCAAAGCAGCACTGGGCCCTTGCCTTTCAAAATTGCCCCTTTGTGTTGTTTTATTTTGCTACCATTTACCAATAAGATATTCCAATATTTGTTCAGATATATAGAATGCTATCATTTTTTCCCCCCACTCAAACCTTCTTTTATTTTTTCAGTAGTCTAATACAATTTAATTTACTTAAGTCCCTCCTGTTCTTTATTAAATATATTTCTTGGAACTTGGTTGCTATTGTGAAAGATTTTTTTTAAATGACATATTTGAACATTTTGCTGACTGCAATATATTGAAATATATGTCTACATATAAATGCAAATAGTTATATATCTTGTTTCCAGTGACTTCAAACTTATTTTATTAATGGAAATACCTTTTAACTTAATTCTCTTGGATTTTTTAAGTACCCATATCATCTGAAAATAATAATAACTTGTTTTCTCAGTTCTAGGACTGTGCTAGCCTATAAGTCACCTTTGTGCAAAAACAGGATAAGAAAATTCCTTACATAGGTAGACGTCTCTACATGGGTGGCTGTTTTGGTGTATGGATAGAGCGTCTGTGAGAAGTAAAAATGAGTGCATCTTCCTCAGGGCAGATGCAAGCCCACCCCGGAGGACACAGTGCATTTCAGCCCCTCCTCCCCTCTGGCTTGGAGCCCTGACTGGAAAACCTGCCCACATATAGAAGGGGGTCTTACCCAGATGCCTTCATTTGAATTTTACGCCCCCTTCTATTTTATTTTTTCTAGTGGCCTGGTGCATGAAATTTATGCACATTAACAGGGAATTAATTAGAGGAAATATTTTAATATTTGCTATTTGCCCTTTCTCTATAATAGAAGTATCAGAGATGAGAGAAAATTATTAAAATGTATATGAAAATCTCCCTCCTGTCAGAGTCTGGGGCATACCCAGAGTCAAGTCCCTGCCTACCTGTGCACACCTCGAAATCACAGGAGACCCAGACCCAGCCGGCCCCATTCCTGTCCAGCCCCACAGCCTTATGTCCCCCATCAAGCCTCATCTGGCAGGGGGCGTGGCCTCAGGTCCCTCACCCCAGCACTGAGGGTGGGAGGTAGGCGCTAATGGCGTGAAAGTGTGATGACAATTTGTATATTAGCTCTTTATTATATAGGATTGCTTTGGTCAGAACTTTTAAAACAGGGTCTAATAGTAATGGTGATAGTGGTAGGTTACTTAGTTGTTTATTGAATGTTATTGAGAATTCATTTGTATTTCTCTATTAAATATTCTGACTTGAGGTAGCTATTTCTTGATTTGAGGTAGATATTAGCAGAAACAATTTATGATTTTCCTATTTTCCAATAGTGACTCATTAGAAAATGAAAAAAGATCCTGTCAATTGTGAGTGATATATATATATATATATATATATATATATATATATATATATGAAGATTACAAAACGTTAGTTCAAGGGGACATCTGTAATACTTTCAACAATGAAGATAAATTTAAAAACAAACAAGCAACAATAGCAAAACCACACA